ATTGGTTTTGCGAACAGACGAATAACGTACTCCAAAATTGAATCCATAATAAATAACCTCCTAACCAAAACAAACCTCGGACCTGTTGGATCCATAGCTGAATTTTACCAGATGTATAAAGAAGAGCTGGCATCATTCCTACTGAAACTATTCCAGAAAATTAAAGAGGAGGGACTCCTCCCTAACTCATTCTATGAGCCATCATCATCTTGATAATAAAGCCTGGAAGAGACACAACAAAAAAAGAAAACTTTGGGCCAATACCCTTCATGAACATCAATGCAAAATTTCAAAACAAAACACTTGCAAATTGAATTCAGCAAGATCAAGTAGGCTTCATCCTGGGGATGTAAGGTTGGTTCAACATATTCAAATCAACAGATGTGATTCATCACATAAACAGAACTAAAGACAAAAACCACATGGTTATTATAACGGATGCAGAACAGGTTTTTGAAAAACTTGAACACAACTTCATGTTAAAAACTTTCAATAAACTAGGCATTAAAGGAACATACCTTAAAATAATAAGAGCCATCTATGATAAACCCACAGCCAACATTATACTGAATGAGCAAAGGCTGAAAGCATTCCTCTTGAAAACTGGAACAAGATAAAGATGGCCTTTATGAACACTTCTATTCAGCATATTATTGGAAGCCTGGCCAGAGCAATGGGTCAAGTAAAAGAAATAAAGGGCATCCCAGTACGAAGAAAAAAGTCAACATATCTCTGTTTGCAGGTGACATGATTCTGTATCTAAAAAACCCCATAGTCCCAGCTGATAAACAACTTCAGAAAAGTTGCAGGATACAAAACTAATATACAGAACTCACTAGCATTCCTATACACCAATAACAGCCAAACTGAGAGCCAAATAAGAAAGGCAATCCCATTCACAATTGTCATAAAAATAATAAAATACTTAGGAATACATCTAAGCAGGGAGGCAAAAAATCCCTATGATGAGAATTACAAAACACTGCTCAAAGAAATCAGAGAAGATATAAGCAAATTGAAAAACATTCCATGCTCATGGATAGGAAGAATCAATAACATTAAAATGGTCATGTGTCCAAAGCAATTTACAGATTTAATGCTATTCCTATCAAACTACCAATGGCATTTTTCACAGAACTAGAAAAACCTATTTTAAAATTTATATGGAATCAAAAAAGAGCCCAAATAGCCAAGGAAATCCTAAGCTAAAAGAACAAAGCTGGAGGCATCATGTTACCCAACTTCAAACCACACTACATCACTACAGTGATCAAAACAGCAATGTATTCATACAAAATCAGGCATGCAGACCAATGGAACAGAATGAAGCACCCAGAAATAACGCTATGCATCTATGACCATCTGATCTTCAACAAAGCAGACAAAGACAAGAAATAGGGGAAACATTCTCTAGTCAATCAGTGGTACTGAGATAACTGGCTAGCCATAGGCAAAAGACTGAAACTGGACCCTTCCCTTATACCAGGCGTCCCCAGACTACGGCCGGCCCGCGGGCCGCATGCGGCCCCCTGAGGCCATTTATCCGGCCCCCCACAGCACTTCAGGAAGGGGCACCTCTTTCATTGGTGGTCAGTGAGAGGAGCACAGCATGTGGCCAGTATGTGGCAGCCCTCCAACAGTCTGAGGGACAGTGAACTGGCCCCCTGTGTAAAAAGTTTGGGGACGCCTGCCTTATACCACACACAAAAGTCAAATCGACATGGATTAAAGATTTAAATGTAAAACCCCAAATTATAAAAACCCTGGAAGACAACTCAGGCAATACTATTCTAGACATAAGAATGGGCAAAGATTTCATGACAAAGACACCAAAAGCAATCACATCCAAAGCAAAAATTGACAAGTGGGATCTAATTAAACTTAAGGGCTTCTGCAGAGCAAAAGAAACTATCAACAGAGTAGACAGACAACCTACAAAATGAAAGAAAATACTTGCAAACCATGCATCTGACAAAGGTCTAGTATCCAGCATCTGTAAGAAACTTAAACAAATTTACTGGAGAAAAACAACTCCATTAAAAAGTAGGCAAAGGACATGAACAGACATTTTTCAAATGGAGATGTACATGCAGCCAACAAGCATACGAAGAAAAGCTAAATATCACTGATCATTACATTTTATGGTATCATTAGATTTTGTGATCATTAGATTTGTGGTAAATCAAAACCACAATGAAATACTCTCTCTCACCAGTCAGAATGGCTATTGCTAAAAAGTCAAAAAGTAACGTGCTGATGAGTTTGCAGAGAAAAGGGAACACTTATACACTGTTTGTGGGAGCATCAATTAATTCAACCATTGTCAAAAGCAGTATGGCAATTTCTCAGTTAAAAGCAGAACTACCACCCAACAATCCTATTTTTGGGTTTATATACCCTGAGAAAGATATATTATTCTATGATAAAGAAACATGCACATAAATGTTAATTGCAGCACTATTAACGATAGCAAAGACACAGAATCAACCTAACCACCCATCAATGACAGATTGGATAAAGAAAATATGTATACCACGGACTACTATGCAGCCATAAAAAAGAATGAGATTATGTATTTTGTAGGAACATGGATGGAGCTGAAGACTATTATCCTTAGCAAACTAATGCAGGAATAGAAAACCAAATACTACATATTCTCACTTGTAAGTGGGAGCTAAATAATAATAACTTACAAACACAAGGAAAGAAACAACAGACACTAGGATCTACTTGAGAAGGGGCATGAGGAAGAGGAGCAGAAAAGATTGCTATTGGGTACTGAGTCTAATACCTGGATGATGAAAAAATATGTATGACAAAAATAAATAAAATTTAAAAAAGAAACTCAGCTCAGCCACTCACTTGCTTTGTGATCTTAGGTAAATAATTTAAACTCATTGAGCTACAGATTGTTTCCTTTAAAAATGAAGACATTGTCCACAAGGTTGCTATGAAGATTAAATGAAGTGTATATAAGAAAGACACTTAACACCGATGGCTAGTACATAAAAGGAACTTAATATATATTAGAGCTTTTCCTCAACAAAGAACCTACAAATGTTTACTCAAAATGATTTAGCTTCAAGGCACTTTTAAAATCCTTTTTTTTTTTCATCTGTACGTTCCCACAAAACCAGGACACAGATTTTATAACTTACATGGTACCCTTTCTAGGCTCTAGGAATGTACTTCAGGAAGCAAGAAATAGATGATCATTTATTGAATACCAAGATATATTTCCAGTGCTGTTATACCTTCTATCTTCATTTATATGTGCAGGGCTACTCTCTTATATCATCATTTGTTTATAAATATTTAAAGTAAAAAATTCATTATCTTCCCCCTCAAAGCCTGAGTGTCTTCTCAAATTTTCTATCTGAGTTAATTATACCATCATCCAGCCTATCACCCAAGCTAGACACGAATAATCCTAGACCACCACCTTACCCTCTACATTTAATCAATTACCTAGTGTGATTAACTCTAATTACTGAAGCACTCAGAACCTTTTCTCCATTCTGCTGAATTTGCCTTCAGGCCCTCAGTATTTCTCCTTTGAACTGCAGCAACTGACATTCCTTCATTTCATTACCTTCATTGCTATCTACCCTCCAGGCAATTGTTTTCAGAACATTTACTGAGTTCCTTACAGAAGTTCCTTTTACCTACAGAAGTTTCTTCAAAAACAAAACAAAACTAAATCACATGTGAAGGACAACATATAAAATTCTAACTGAGGTAGAAGTGTGGAGCATGGAAGTAATTCCTCACTTCCATGTCAGCCAGTAAGGGAAGTCCTGAAAGACACTTTGGAAACCCGTGGTCTACAAGGAAAAACTTAAACTGCTTAACATGGCAAATCAAAAACTGGTTTCACAAGCTGGCTTTTCCCTCCCTTTCTATTCCAACCACATCGCCTATAAGCCTTCTACCTTAAATCTCTCCTCTTCTACCTGTACTCTTCTATCTGCCTGGAATGCTCTTCCTCTGATTCTCCGTCTTTCCAATGCTCAACCTACAAAATACAGCTTCAAAGTTTCCATCTAATTGAGCATTAACCAACTTACCGAATCGATATAGCTGCTTCCACTTATGGGATATCAGAGCACCTTGTATGTACTCGTATTGTGGCCTCTATCACACTTCAGTGCAATTACTAGTTTACATTCTGTTCTCCCCAGTTATAGTGCGGCAAGGACCACTACTCATATATTTTTACAATGCTTAGGAATGAGAATACAGAACACAACAGATGCTTTATTAGCATTCATATGATTATATATAAAGATTTCATTGTCATTAAATTCATTTTCTATGAGGTAGCAGCTTTAATGATTTTTAAAGATTCAATTATAGAAACATTGAACTTATTTTTAAAGTGTTTTTGTATATGCTTAGCTACTTTTTTAGGGACTCACCAAAGTTCAAAGCTAATTTATGACACTGGAATTTTACCAGTTTTTCACAGTGTCCAATTAAAAGCACTATGACATCATTCAGGACAATGACCACCTGGCATGTTCTTTTTTAATCCTAAGGCTCCTATACCAAGGATGCATTTTAGGTCTACTTTTTAACCTAGAGTAGTAACTTGGACAACATATATGGATGCCCAGAACCCCTGGAAACTAAAAGAACATTACTGAGACCTAAGTCTAAGTATGCAGAAGTGCTGCACCCTATGGGAGAATTTGAGATGATGCTGTTTGAGCCAGTGCCTCCATTCCTGTCCCCAGCACACAAACGTATACAGACATACAAACAATAAGGCCTTGAAAGGGATTTTCTGCAAGAATATGACAATTTTTTTAATCACCTCCATTTGATTTGTCGCTCAAGTAACAAAATTTGTTTTCATGAACACTCAAAAAATTCAATAATGTAACCTCTAATAGAGCTTGAAAAGCTCTGAAGGACAAGGCACTTAGATCAATATTGGTTTATTTCAAATGCTTGGCAGTACCAAGAGATATGGCTGATCATCAGATGGATTTTATTACCTGTCGGAGTGATAAGTCCTGGCGATAAGAGGCCTGGGACTGCATGGGGCAGAAGGCGGGCATTTTCCTGCAACACTCCCAAAGAACGCTTAGGGGGCCTGCCAGGTCTTGAACTGTTGAAAAACAGACAAATATAGACAAGATTAAAAATGTACTCTTTCTGAGAATACCATCACTTGCAATATTTACCTTTTAAATCTTGTTTAATTGCCAAAAGTGGTAGGATTTTCCATTAAAGACTATTTTTGTGGATTACTAAGAGACCAATTCTTTCCTTTTCTCTCAATTTCCCAACAGAGTTATGGTAAACATTAGCTCCATAAGAGATCAATTTTAGTTTAGATTCTATTTACAGGCCAGTACTTTGCAATGCAACTCACCTGTTGTCAGAAATCCTAAGTTACCACTGCTTTTAAAGCTACACTTGATCTGAAGTATTAATAAATGCTTCTGAGAGCTGAGACAGTGACTCACAAAATTAAGATCATATAAAATGTGAAGTGATTAGGTCTCTTCCCAGCATGCTAGAGGTGAATGGTAAACAGCTGAGAGATGTGAAATAGAAGCTGATGTTTATTAGCATTTCCACAGCTGCTGGGAGCCCGTGAGGAACAAAGGATTACCACCCTCAGTAGGTTTTTTTTTTCCTAGGTATTTTTTAAACCCAGCTGTATAACCAGCAGTGCTCTGTCTTGGAGTGGCTATACTAACAAACCTGCCACCTTTGCAATCTAGGCTGCCTTTTCTCTCAGATTGATTGGTGTTTTTAACAAATGAGTTGATGCTAAACTTTATCACATTAACCTAACCCACTGCATTTGTACATTCTTCACCCATGAGCAGTTGAGAAATTCTAATTGCAAATGCTAATTCATAAAATAATGAAATAAAAAGTCAGTATCTGTTGCCTCCATCTTGTACCCTAATAGAGTTAGGGTACAAAAATATTATTTTAAAGCTGTCACCACACGACAGACTTGTAAGTCATAGAACATTAGGATCAAGTTTTTCTCCAGTCACCCAATATATTTGAAATATTACTTTCTAACGTTGCCTAAGATATTGCTGTTGCCTTTTAGTAGAAATGCATTTCACGAAGCTGAATGATACGAGTTTTGACAAAATATTGCAAAATACTATATTAAATAACTTTAGCAGCAAAAATATATGAGGTTCGAATAGAGAACATACCCCAAAATGACTTTTAGTTTACAAAGAAATTTAAGTTGAACCTCACTCTATCAACTGTGCACTAGCAAAATGCTCCATCAATGTAAGAAAAACTCTGCTTTTAAATAAAAAACAACTTTTAGCAACCTTACGTGGAGGTAGTATTACCCAGTTCATTTTTCATACACTGCGCCAGTGTTATTTTCTTCTGTTGTACATCAATATTATATATCAATCTAGCACAAAAGATTCTGTTTTTCTCATTTAATGTTTCTATTTTATAAATGGACTCTCCTCTCCTTTCTACTTCATTCTGGGCCATAATTTATTTTCTTTAATTCAGTGTTCTTACCGTTTACCTTTTCCCTATTTTATGGCTTTCTGACTCTTTTAAGGAATGCTGAAAACAGAAATATCCTATTTACTTCGAATGTCCTAAAGGATCCCAACATCACTGAAAAATGTTCATCAGAGTATATCCAGGCATCAGAGAAAGGCACATTGTTTTATTGAATAAACTTCACCAAATCTATACTGTCTAAATGCTTTATTGTGTCCTTCCATTTGTCAGAACTCGAGCCTACTAACTTTTTATTTAAACACACCTGATTACTCTTTGTATTTTTCCACTGTAAACATTTCAGTGCTATCTCCATTCTCAAGAAGACTTTCAGACAGGCTGCCTCCAGAACTAAGCAGCCTGATACTCACTCTACTTCCATGTGATGAGCCATACGACTGCCAGTTAACAGTACACTTTGAAAACTACAAGGTTTAACTAGTCTGTTCCAAATTTTTTGGTCAGTTCTTACTATCTGAAGCAACTCTTATGCAATAAACTGACCCAGGCTTGGGAAGCATTAGAGGCCTCTTAGTCTAGTGGTTTTACCTTAAATGTGAAGATTTGAAAAACATTGGTTTCACAGGTTAGTTCACAAATGGCTTTGTATTGTCTATTCCATATGTTATGAACTCCAGAAGGACCATATTCTCCATCCTAATATACATCTCAGCTCATAATTTTATGTTGCTGGTATGATTAATTGTGATATATTGTGAGAATCTAGAACAGGTTTTGTCTTTGAGGAGCTTGTGGTCTAGTTATTTGTAATCTGTAAAATAAAACAGGCCTTTTTTAAAAGTTCCCACCCAAATGGCTCTGCCAATATATCACTCATGTACACTGTAAAGGTAAGTTGTTATGGCATAAGGCAAACAACCCCATAAAATAGTCAAACTTATTAAATATAGCTCAACTAATTTAATTAATAATAATTAATTTAATAGCTCAGCTAATCTCCCCAACTAGAATCTAAGCTCCATGAAGGCAGCATACATGTCCGGTTTTGTTTGTTACTGTATCCTAAGCAATTCTCCTGGTTTCCAACAAACAGTAAGTTCCAGTAAAATATTAATTAAATCAATTAATTAATATACATAGGAAATATTCTTTCACTGTTGGTACAGTTTCCAAATATTCCTTCAATTACTCAACTCACCTGTTGTGGGAGCTGTTCTTTGACCACAAGAACAGAGAGCCAGTTTCATTATTTAATCATAACATAATTATTTTTAAAATCTTGAACTCCACAATAACTATAGGAGCTTCATAATATGATCTACTCAAATATGACTATGTATAAGGGTAAAGAAGGCTATGCATAGATGCCACCGTCTTATTCTCTTGAAAGCCCTACAGGCTTCAAGATCTGCTTAAGGACTAAGGGCCCCTGCAGTCACACATATGTAGTAACAATGTCACTTATTCAGTCATCTAGTAAACAAACATGCACTAGGTATCCATTTAGCGTGTGTGTGGTATAATGCTAGGTATCAGTGACACAGGAGGTAAAGTGTAACTTCAACAAGGGCAAGGGTTTGGTTTGATCTTTTTCATTGATATTGTGTGAGAACCTAGAATAGGTTTTACCTTTGAGGAGCTTGTGGTCTAGTTATAGAGATGTGTGTTTGCCCTGTTATTTAAAATTTCTGATTGATCATGTAATGAGCATGGTTGTATGATACCTGCTTCCAAAATTGTTTACACTTATCAGTGATCAAAAATCACATTCAGATTTCTTTGTTTTTAATTTTGGAACAAAGACTTGGGTCCCTAGAGTAAATTAATTGGAACAAAGTCTGTGAACGTGATTTATAGTCAATATATCTACATAAAAATACAAGATTTATTCTGACCCTTAGACCTACTAATTCTCTGTAAGACATTCCTGGATTTCATTTTAAGAAACACAAGCCTGACAACATGATGAAAGATTGTGGAGAAATCTGTAAAATGTTGGGAAGAATCTTTCTTGATAGATGATCTTGCCATACTTCTTATCTTTAAGATGTTTATTAGCATCAGGCAGATATTCACATATTAATCAAGGCAAATAACATGTGGTGGTTTAACTAGGTAACTGTTATTGGATGACAATTTAATCAGCATAGGTTGAAAGGTCCATCATTGTAGCATCCTGTTTCTACTAAGATGTTGATTGCGTTACTGATCTCAGTAATGCTTTATTTTACAGGGCACGAATAACCATGTAATTACTCTTTAATTAAATGATAATTGCTTCTTGGCAATTACTCGTTTTCAGTTTAATTACAAGGTTATTTGTAGTCTGTAAAATAAAACAGGCCTTTTTTAAAAAGTTCCTACCCAAATGGCTCTGCCAATATATCACTCATGTACACTGTAAAGGTAAGTTGTTATGGTACAAGGCAAATTACCGCTTAAAATAGCCAATCTTATTAAATAGCTCAGCTAAATCTTGAAGAGATTCAGCTTTATAAAATTCACATTAAGTGTAATGTTTATAGACTATTTAAAGGGAAGTTACACCAAATCATCAAAATTTCTGTGGGCCCAGGTCATCCTTTAACATAACTTATCCTCATATGATTTCCCCTTCATTCTGTAAGCTTCTTTAGAAGAAATGAAATACTTGCCCAGCTTCCTGAGATTGAAGACTAAACCAACTTAAAATATGTAACAGTACTCTTTATTTCTGCAGTTGAAGCGGCTTACCATCAGAGCATTGCCTTTAAGTTTATAAACTTTGTAGAGTTGCCAATTCCCTAAGCGAGACTTTCAGTAGGTCTTCTAATGTCAATAAGACAGGATAAGGCCGGGCGCAGTGGCTCAAGCCTGTAATCCCAGCACTTTGGGAGGCCGAGGCGGGTGGATCACGAGGTCAAGAGATCGAGACCATCCTGGTCAACATGGTGAAACCCCGTCTCTACTAAAAATACTAAAAATTAGCTGGGCATGGCGGCATGTGCCTGTAATCCCAGCTATTCAGGAGGCTGAGGCAGGAGAATTGCCTGAACCCAGGAGGCGGAGGTTGCGGTGAGCCGAGATCACGCCATTGCACTCCAGCCTGGGCAACAAGAGCGAAACTCTGTCTCAAAAAAAAAAAAAAAAAAAAAAAAAAAAAAAAGATAGGATATATTCTACGATATATCTATTCCAAGATCTGAAATAGACAAAGCAGCTCATACGTTGTTCATTAAGATGATTAAATTTGACTGTTGAATTTATTTTTATTTTATATCATCAGCTATTTATGATTCAAGGTATAAGCAACTAAGATGAGTGATTTTGTTGTTCCAAAGGAAAAAAAATCCCGTTAATTAATTATGTCATAAACCTTCAAGATATTTAATATAAACTACATGAGCAGTCCTTGATTTAATAAGGAATCATACGGTATGCCATCCCTTCAATGAAAGCTTGTCTTTCTACTTCTTAAAGAAACACTTATAACATCCAGGGACAGTCTGTGAAAATTGCTGAGAATATAGTAGTAGTTAAGGGTGGTATTAACAGCAACTTGTAAAAACCACTGCAATTGAATTCTTGACATGAAAGCCATTATCAATGACCTGGGATTTACTTTTCAGAGTTATTACTGATATTTAAAATCCCTTGAGATGG